AGCACATGTCACTTCATCTCCTTTATATACACTAGGAAGGGCAAAAAAAAGCACCTTGCACCGGTGCCAAGCAATTTGTCTTTGAAATAAAGAAGATGGCAAGGTCACCATGTAAATAAAATGGATGTTCATGGAAGTTACTACTAATATTGAGAGTTTACCTAGCAAGAAAGCAGCAGAAGATGACGTGGTGAGTTCATCGCTCCAAGCACGAAGCACGCCTTCTTCCGCCTTCCCCGCCCAAAGAGCAAACTCAAATTACCTCCGGTTCAATCATCCATATGAACAAATACAAAACCAATATGATGAAATCATACCTCCGAGGAACGTAATCCTTGAGTAGCAACTAAACAAAGATGAGTATTACATCACAAAGACCAAACAAAGACAGGCACGTGGCATGGTCATTCACGTAAACAATGTAGCTACTACTATGAAATCATACATCACAAAGACCAATCAAGACATAACTTGGCACTTGTAGTTCTGCACTACAATTGTCATACATCAACAAACACAATATGATAGTCCCATAAACGTTTTTTTCAAACGAACTCACCCCCACACAACCTTACTGATGCACACGCCAAGATTGCTAAGGAATTGTACCTACAACCATCTTGGTTTGTGAAACAACATCCTTGGCCTACATCGACAACACTCCACACCGCCATGGATATTAACTCCTAAGTCCAGATAGGGGTTCCCAGATTTAGTTCAACCTAATCCGGCACCTCATAGGAGGGTGGATCTGCAACAGCATGCTACGCATCCACAAAAAATTATCTAAAGCAAAGCATGAAATGATTATCATAGCCACTTCATCCTACTGCAAGAGGGCACCCCATCAAGAATCTGCCAAATAGTTCTTTCAACACCCCAAACCTCCTTTCAATTACATTCCGCAATCTAGCATGAATGTAGTTGAATTTCTCCTCCCTCTTGCAATTGTTTGCATATCTATGCCTCTAAAGTCATTGATGTGATACCTTGTGTTTTTGTAGGGGTCATGTAGCCTTCCATCTCCTTGTAACCAGCGTCCCGCCAGTAGTACAAGCTATCATAGCAAAGTGACAAATCCGATGGCTTAGCAAATTAACCACAAGTATGCTTCAATGCATGTACTACAAGGAAACAAATAGGGTATGCTAACGAGCAGAAGGCATCACGAACCTTCGGGGATGTGGGAACGAAGCGTCGTCCGACAGATCTTTCAACACCGCCATGTCATGACATGCCCCGCCTTCCCCAAATTTCCACATATGTGAAACGGCCATCCATATCCACGATGGCACAAACATTAATTGTTGTTTCGCCTTTCCTATTGTAGAAATCAACCTTTGCTTGACGGTTAACCTCAACCTTTATGTGCGTGCCATCTATATCACCTATGCAACCATCAAACCATGGTGAATGTGCAAAGAAGTTTGTGGCTTACGCGGTGCGTAGTTCCTATCTCTTGGGACTAAGACCATGTTTGCCTTTGGTACATTACCTCTTGCAACTAGTGTAATCTTCCCACTAATCGTATCTAAAGACCTTTCAACCTATACTTGCAATCGTCTACTAGCCGATTGGTGGGCACATGTCCGGATGTACATGCCTAAAGCTTCTACCGAGGTGCACTTATCTCATTGTTGGCAACCCAAACGGCGGTGGTTTCATGCAAATGCATGAAGTCATCACGCGACATGACATGCAAATTCTCTAAACATCCGGTATTTTCGGCTAGTGTAAGTCGTGCATCCACCGGGCTCCCATTAGCTTAGGAATGGGGCAAGGAGGATTTACCTCGGGCCTTTGCTGTGATGTGTGCCCTTTCAGCAGACAAATGTTGCCTTTGCCACATACCACATTGCTCGGTCCATCACTAGATGTGTCATTTGTAGGAGGACTCAGTCTTGCTCATCTTTTGCTCATCTTTGCTACACTGCAATTGGGCATACATAAGATGCAGATTGTAATGCCGATATTAGGAACAACACAAGTGCAAATAAATGAACATATGATTTATACTCGAACTCGGTAGCACCTTCAAAAACAGGTTGGAATGTACATGGGAAAAGTACACTAATTTTTTATTCAAAACACTCACAAAGAAGTACACTAATTTGTTACAACACTCTTTTTTTTTTTTACAACACTCACACCAAGACACTAATTTTTTATTCAAAAACGAGACAACGCAGTGCACTTAGTTCTCAACAATAGTCTTTGGTAATACGAAAAACGAACATAAGGATACAACAAACCAAATGAACTCAACATGCACATGGTGAATATCCGCAAACAGTGAAAAAAAGGAATGTCTTGATCAAGGGACTTGTTGGAGCACACAAAAAGGCCCACGCCACTTTGATCCAGTTCACCCGGCCCTCTTTGGACTCCATGTCTAGAAAACCACAGCGATCGAGCCTATCTCTCAAAGGTTCGTGGCTTGCACGAATACTTCATCACCTTCGCTAATACCATCTTGCGTTGAGAATGTTTTTGGACTTGGGCCAACTCCTCGCAGATCGGTTTTGTGGACGGCCTTCAGGACCTAGCCTCTCCGAGAAAGTGGCCGAGGTCTTCAAGGCACTCTTCTGAGATGGAGTTTGGCTACTCTTCTTCTCGAGGATCGTCACATCGAAAACTCTCTATGGACTCTCTTCGGGGTCGATGAGTACTAGGTGGCTCGAATGGTGGTCCGATAAGGATGGAGGAGCGAGGGCTTCCATTACTAGGTGACTTGTCGGGTCGGTGGCCCCCCGCCGATACCAATCGCCCCTCATCACGTGGGGTGCGTCCCAAAATTGTGATCGATTGCTCACAAGATTGGGGCCGCTTTGAACTTGTTTCTAGCGGGTTGGCTACTTTCCTGCACGTGTTGCAGTGATGTCGAAGTTAGTATTGAGTTAGTACGAACCTAATTGCTACAAAATATTCAAAAAATGCGTGTAGTTAGTACCCGGGGTTGGCGTCAGTACAACTCGAGGTCACCGAAACCTCTCCAACAATGGGTCACGGCCGAGCCCAAGATGGAGTCTGCAGTCACGGTCAGCTTGAAGTAACAACGCTTCAGTTACATTGTACTTGTTCCGCACACTTTCTTGTTGTACCCAAGGTCCGTGACTTTGTTGAAGTCATGAGTGATATTGGTCCACCCTAGTGGGGTTGGACCGTTAAGCGAGGGGTCCATGGATGTAGCTCTTTCTTTGGATGATTAGGTCAAGAAGCGAGAGGTTGCTCTCATCATCCCGCATAAAGACGGTCTGGCTCATCTGATTCAAGGATCGACAAAGCTATTAGTAATGCAAGCCAATCATAAAATCTGCAGAGAATAGATGTACTAATGGATTCATAATGCTTTCTTGTATCATGGATAATACTAGTTGCCTCAATGTGAAGGAAGCATACAGAAAACAAAAGAACTAAATAACTAGAACACTAGTCCCATAAATGAATTATAGGAGTGAATTGAACTGTTCTAATTGTCCACCCAACCCCTCGGAGAAAATACTGAGAACACAAAGGAGACAACAACAAAGGAAGAGAATAAGCACAGATCCGTAACTTGCCTTTATGTGGCCGTTTTCGCCTTTTTGAGCGGAGGTTGTAGGGCTTGCCACCGCTTGGAGAGCAAGACGAAGCCGACGACGCTTGCAGTTAAGGCGTCATTGATCACAACCTGACGAAATGTCCCTTGTAAGTCTGCAGCTCAATCATAGAGGTCAATTGTAAGATTGAAAACCTAATCAAAACATTGTAAAATTGTTGGTATAGGTAAGCACATTTTGTAATCTACAACCCCTTAGAAATGCCCCCTGTAAGTCTTAAGTGACTAAAAACGCAATGAAACCAAACAGGAATCTTAGTAAAAGTTGGACCATGCAAGCAAAATGATTCGACAACTAGTTGCATGAGAATGAAATGACACAAGTGCACCCAAACATATATATCCGAGTAACCTAGGAGCTATTAATTGTTCAAGAATAACAAACCACTTGGATGAACCAACCTGAATGTTTGAATGCAATGAAAAGCATGAGTTGTAACACTCCATACTTAGCATTCAATATACAAGTATAGAAGAAACTCATTAAATCAGTCCAAAGTGTCAAATATGATGAACATATGATGATATGAACAAACTTATATATGTTAACTCCTACCGATATAGTAAAATAGCAAGAATATTGTTCACAAAAGTAGCACTTCTATGAAATGGAATCCTATTTAATGCTGATAGTGATCAATACATTAGTTGTAGCACTCAACTAATATTTTGCAAGCACACAATGACAAAGGAGGCACGAAACCATTAGGAGTTTAAGACGCATTCCACGTAAAACTTAGCGGTACAAAAAAGCAAAGGAAGAGATCAAACTTAGTGTTTGGTAATAATAGATCTAAAGAGACATGAGTACACGTTGGATCTCGATCCCATGTGAGTCAAAGTCTTGGCGTCGGGTGGGGGGGCTTACCGTGGTGGAAGGATTCGCCGTTGATGGAGGCGGGTCCGGGGAAGGAAGGCGCAGCCCACTTGTCACCAAGGCGGAGTGAGTGAGGGAAACCCTAGCCGCGGAGCTCAACCTCACGAGACGACCAATTTGCGCCTCGAGGCGGCAAGGTGAGAAGACGAAGGCGAGGGATCCGGGTTACCTCGCCCAAAAGTCGTCGTCGATGGAGGCGGGGTGGGGAAGAGGACGACGACACTTTCCCAAAGAGGCTCCCACCGGGAGGACGGAGTAAAGAGGTGGCCGAGCCGGATCTGGGGGCCACCGACGCGCGGCGAAAGCACGCTGGCGAGCTACCGCCGGACAAGCGCCGCCAAGGCGCCAGAGGGCGCGTCGGCGGCATGGAACCCTAGCCACATGACGGCGGGAGGAAGGAGAGAAAGTGACGGACGATAGGAGTGCACCGGATAGTTGGCGGATATAAGCCAGTTTGGTCGATAGTTGGGCTGCACGAACGGATATAAGCCAGCACCAGCCAGCCAATAGCGTGCGAACGGGCTGATGGATGGCAGTAGCTGTACAGGGAAACGGGTAGGTGGGGGAATCTAATAAGTGGTTGGGTCATGGAGCAGTTGTGTATCGGACCGATGATGATTAATTTGCTTTATGCTGGAAAACAAACTGCATTTGTGTAGATTATTGATTGTTCACCAGTGATACTGTTTACATGTGTGAAGAGGAAGAGCACCTGGCATTAGGCGGGAATTGTATGGCACCATACTCTACCTATGCTGGGGACTGAACAGTGTACTGACTAGATGCCAGGTGCCCAGGTGGTGGATGCCTAGTACCTGAAAAAAAAAGTTAACCAACTTGGAATAACTGAACTAACAGTGGCGTAATGAGTTGATTTTGGTGATTCAATGGTTTTCTATAGATAGCGAACCTAGGTGTCCAGTGTGATCTCTCATTCTCTGAATTATACCTTGAGGTCTCAGGGACAGTTGGTACAGTTATACATCCTGTTAGGTTATTAATTCAAGAAGCTGGCTTTGGTTCTCTACAGATGTACATCTATGTTATGACCTTGACATTTGGCGTGAAGTTTTACACAGCCACTTTTTTTTTGCTTATTTAGATAACTGTACGGGAAGCATTGAATACGCATTAGATGAAGAAATGTCAGCTGACCCTTCTGTTTTCTTGATGGGAGAAAGAGGTACCACCAGTACCTGTACTTGTTTATTTTCTGTGTTCCATTCTTGCTTCTTTTGGTTTAATAATTGTTGTGTCTGTGGTAGGTTGGTGAGTACCAAGGTGCATACAAGGTCAGTAATATTTCCAAAGATTTATGCTTCTTCTTTTTTTTCTCCCTGTGGCAACTGAAATGTAATATATGAATGTTACTGGTATTGAGCTTCTCTTCGTTGTGGCAGATATCTAAGGGTTTGCTTGACAAGTATGGCCCTGATAGGGTTCTTGATACTCCAATTACTGAGGTTATAAACCCGCAAATTGATCACCATTGTCCATTCATAAGCTGTCAGGTTGACCCGATCACATTCTCATACTGATCTTATTTGTTTTGGTTCAGGCTGGCTTCACTGGCATTGGTGTTGGTGCCGCCTACCATGGTCTTCGACCTATTGTAGAGTTCATGACATTTAACTTTTCGATGCAGGTCAGTTTAATGAATTCTGCAAATCACCATACTAATTCAATTATTAAACTATTTGTTTGCTTTGATTTGTTCTTTACTCCTTGGCATATCTGTTGGTTTCTGTACTCATTTTCTCTACATGCTTTGCAATCCCGGAAAATTCCTGTTTGTTGCAGCATCCTATTGCATATCTGTTTTTGCTCTTCTCTGTTTGCTTTATATTTCTTAGAAGCATGTATTACATAAATTAGAATGGCTCATAATGGTTGACGATTGTAATGCATTTTGTTAAGTAGCACCTCATTGAAGAAAGATGTATATACATAATCAGCATGTTAACATGTCTGTAGACATTCTTCTCTTGAGAAAAAGTGACATGAACTCCCTCACTCAGTTTATTTTCACATGGTAGAATATCTGGGAAAATCTGTCAGATCCACTAAACACTATGATCCATTCTAATTTGATTACTCAATCAGAGGGGTTATAATCTGAGATGGTGTCGCTGATGAACGTTTGGTCATTACAATTCCTTGCACAGCAATTTGTCTTTACAATTTTCTGCAACAATAATGTTTGTTATTCTGGTACTGCTCTCCATCTTTGAGAATATGAATACTGGAGACTCCATATGCTGAAAAACAAATCTGTTAATTACACCCTGTTGTATATTCAGGCAATTGATCACATAATTAATTCAGCTGCCAAGTCAAACTACATGTTAGCTGCCAAGTCACAAACTTAACTCTATATTGTTGTTCTGTTGCTGTTCTTATTCTTTAGAAGACAAATAGTTATGCCATATGATTTAATGTTCTGAAAGTCTTGTGCTGGGACATACATTGACAGAGGATAGATTAATTGTAGGACTAAATAGTTCATTACAAGAGTTTTATCTCCATACGGTAATATTTTGTAGAGCTGTTCTCAAAATGGAAATAAAATGTAAATGTGTTTACTGAGAAAGAGGTGTAAGCTTTAGGTCGCTTTAAAATCATGCAGTGCATATCATCTCATGGACATTATAGTCCTGTAAGTATTTACAGATAGGTATGTTGCTGTACTTTGATGGAATTACTAACTGTCTTAGTATGCAGTGCTATGCAGCTTGGTATGCACATGTTCCCGGATTGAAAGTTCTAGCTCCATATTCTGCAGAAGATGCTCGAGGTTTGCTAAAAGCGGCAATCAGGGATCCAGATCCTGTTGTGTTCCTTGAAAATGAACTTCTGTATGCAATATCTTTCTCTGTTCAACTATATTCTCTATGTTGTTTGTTTGAGTTGACGTCTCATTATATAATGCATTTTTCTGCAGTTATGGTGAATCGTTCCCTGTTTCTGCTGAGGTACTTGATTCTAGCTTCTGCCTTCCGATTGGAAAGGCTAAGGTATGTTCTTGTATTTATTAGTGGAAGTGAAGAGTTCAATCTGATCAGGCTTCCCTTGATGGATTTTCTGCAAATCTTTTTTTGTTTTTGTTTTTATGAATGTAGATAGAGCGTCAAGGGAAAGATGTCACTATCACTGCATTCTCCAAGATGGTTGGATATGCTCTTCAGGTGTGTGAATGTAGATTTCTTAAGTAGATGGAAGAATTGTTTGTTTAATGCTTATACATGTATTGACTTACATTCTTGTTCATGTATTTCATAGTCATTGAATTCAACATGCTATTGGCTAATAATGATAAAATTATAGCTTTATTCTATTGCAATTTTCACAAAAAGAAGAAAATCCAGTAAACCAAGTTCTCTAGTTGGTGGTTCTGGTTGCATTTCTCATGTTCTGTCATTTTTCAGGCCGCCGATATACTGGCCAAGGAAGGTATCAGTGCCGAGGTAATTTGTCTTTGCATTTCTTCTACACTACAGGCTTGTGCTAACCATATATATTTTCCCGTGGAGTCCATCATTGTTGTCTTATTCTTTAGTAATTTCTCTGTTCAGGTAATCAATCTTCTCTCGATTAGACCGCTGGATAGAGCTGCTATTAATGCATCTGTGAGGAAAACCAATAGATTGGTAACCGTGAGAAGAAGGCTTCCCTCAACATGGGATTGGTGCTGAAATATGGTCAGTCTCTCTCCTCCCTCCTCCTTCTTCCCAATGTATGGTCTACATCTCTCCTAATGGGTTGAAATGTGTCTTTGCAGCATGTCTGTTGTAGAGGACAGCTTTGAGTATCTTGATGCACCAGTTGAGAGGATTGCTGGAGCTGATGTGCCCATGCCATACGCTGCCAACCTTGAGAGGATGGCTGTTCCACAGGTCCATACTGGTCCTTTTGCTTTCATTTATAGTTTGCATACGGATCTGTGGTTACACAACCCTTGTTATTCGACAAAGCTAATGGCATAACAGTTTCAGTAGCTCCTTAAACAATACTACTGCTGCGCTGAAATTTCAGTCTTGCATACATGAATATATTTTGACCTGCATTCTGTACAATTAATGTTTGATTTGCAATCCTCGACATGGTATGGTTAAAGGGGCAGACCTAATGTCGGAGGCTCCCACATGAGTGGGGTGCAGGGGAAGGAAAAACCGAGGCAAGCTTCCCCACGCAAAATCTGCGGAGAGACTGCTTCGAACCCGTGACCTGGTGACCCAGGGAAGACAGCTCTCACCACTGCACGATATGGTACAAAAGCTAATTTAGGTGATAAAACAATAGTTGTTTTGCTAATAGCCGAATTAACAGACAAGGTCTTAGGTTGTGTCAAGCACATGAGAGTTCAGTCATGGCTGCATGTGTGATGCGAGAGTTGTAGCAGACAGTTAACAGGTCTTTTATAAAATAGTATAGTACTCCCTCTGTTTTTAAATATATGCTGTTTAGGAACAAGCTAACTAGTTGAATAATGAACTAATTAGCTTGCTTTGAACATCATTTATTTAAAGACAGGGAGTAGTAGGCTACTGTCTATACTCTCTGGTAGGTGCACTGCATCTCCACCGTGATGCCACAGGGAGATGCAAATATTTCTATCTAAGATAGAATTTTGGAGCCTTGGCTGGGGAAAGGTGATCGTGGTAGAGCTGTGGTATTAGTCTGGCATTGAAAGTAGGCTCGCGTGATTGATTATTTGGACAAAATTGCAAAAATGCGGGTGGATGACAACTGGGTTCATCTGTGTCTATGAATACGGATCTAATAATAAATCTGCAAACGACCAATGTTTCAGAGTCTCATTTTTGCAAATCGCCCCATTATTTGTAGGTGGTCCTCTTTTGACTCCTTGTTATTGCGACACTTGCAGGTGGATGACATCGTCCGGGCAGCCAAGCGTGCTTGCTACAGAGCAGCAGTACCGATGGCAGCAACAGCCTAATTCAACAGAACCCTGCCTTTTCCATTTCTGTGTCTAATGTCCAGAGTCCAGAAAGATATGTCCCCCATAATGGTATGACGAGTACCCACTGCCGCTGCAACTCAACTAGCATGAGCTGATTTTGTAGAGCCACCAAGAGGTGTCCAGTACTCCATCCAGTTCCGTTGTCTTCGCCGCCGCAGCCGGATGGCTGCGCATGACTGCAGCCTATGGAGATAAGATTTTACATGAGGCGAGGTGGTGTCAATAAACATGTGGTATTCGGAAGGGGAACTCTCAAGAGGTCCAAAAATAGTTATTCTGGTTGCGCCTTTCTTGATAACCACGTCTCTTCCATGCTAGTGCTCGAAACTCCTCTGTCTATCCATGGTCCTGCCAGCCAGCCAAACTCTGGGAGATGTTATCCGAGAGCGGAAGCAAGCATGGTTCGGGCAAATCCTTGCGGTGTCCGAGAGTGACGCGTTCGGCACGTACACTCACTCCTCACTTGAAGACGCTTCAGGCGACATGTATGGTCAGGCGGGAGATTCTATCTACGATGCACAGGTGTGGGTGTGGTGTGGTATACTCCTATCCCAGACCCAGAGAGAGAGAGAGGAGAGCAAGAGCAAGTTGCGGGCTGTGGGGCTGGTCTGGTCGAGGTCGATCTCCCCCCATGACCGACCCATGGATGGATCAATTCCTCGCCTTGGAAAGATACACCAACTTGGTCACGTCTCACGCGCGGAGTACGCGAGAGGGATGCCGCTTGCCTTTAACCACAGCCGGACGGGCGGATGGCGTTGTAGATCAGGCGGCAGCCCCTGGGCAATGGTGGATAGATTGATGCCTCCGTCCATCCTTTTGGTTTTTGGCCGCTACTTGCAATTGGGTCTGTTTGGCTGATATTAAAAGTTCGATTGATGAAGCCTAAATTGCTTGCTTTTATTATAAAGAAAAATACTATAAATTTTAGTTGATAAGTGATTTCTAGCTGATAAGTTTAAATGAACCGGCCCAAACAGTGGACGGTCCTATGCCACCGGTCAAATCAAACAAAACGTTAGGAAGGGACATGCGGTTCTAGTGGTGCAGAAACAGAGACGATTCCCGAAGCAGATACCATTTTTTTTATTAAAAACAGAGGTAGTACTGGGTTATTTAAAACATACTACTGTACCAACGTAATCATAGGTTACAATGACTCAAAGAATCCGTGTCATTGCTCGACATAACTCGTATAAGTATGGATGGTGAGTTTGATATAAATACCCCCTATGAACGCCCTGCTCTTTATGAGCATATCTAAAAGACAGTCGGAAGGAGATTGATAAAGTCACCGTAACGTGACACGTCACGCTATTGACAAGCACGTCGCCAGCCACTCAAAAAACAATGTTATGAAATCCTGAAATAAATGCGAGAAATTTGGCTTATTACAATACTTATCTTGATTTACTGCGTGAGAAAAAAATTTTGTTTCGTTCGCTAAAAATCTTCAAGAAGAAGTATAAGCGAATGCAGGGCCTCGACAATAAGCATCAACATTAAGATTTATATCTACAGTCCTACAGATATGTTTGGTATGAAAATATATCCCATAACAAGTGTAGAAATACTTAATGCTGAGACAACTTTAGTATTTTCCTCTATATCAATGTCATAAACATATTCAATGTCATAAACATTAGTATTTTCCTCTATATCATTCCACATTTTAAAAATTGAAAGTCGAACTCTTCTTAAAAAACCGAGAGTACTAGCTCAGAATTTCAAAGAAAGAACAACTGTAGACATTGCAGCTCGCAGTTCGAGAAAGATAAAAACAAAGAGAAGTGCAGGTCATGATGGGTAAGGAGCGAGGGATGGAACGAACAAAAATGGAGGAAAGCTCAAGCGAGCACAGGTCGCAATTATTATCGTCATCTAGATTATTTTCAACAACAACACCTAAAATATAAAGACTTTATTTAATGTTTAGGTAGAATTATAGGTAAAAGGTTTAATACTCATTCGACATTTTTTCCAACAATAGAATCCGAAAGAAGAGAATCTTTATGCAAATAGATTTTTAGGAGATGATACTCATATTTGGATTGTGCTTTCAAACAACTCTAAAATAGATTTTTCAGATAAATACTTTATAAAAAGCTAATTTTGAATCTCTGCTTCATTTTAGGTTTGATGCTAGTTATCGGAGACAGTGTTAGATTGATAAAAAAGGAGAAAGTACGGATCCGAGCCGCACCTGCTGTGGTCCCCACGCGCTTCATTTCTTTTTTTCTCACGTTGCTTTCACAGATAAGACCTCTGAAAACTGGTGTTTTTCTTTTGTGCATGCTGCTCATACTCAACTTCGCAAGAAAGAGAAGCCACGATCACTTCACAAGAAAGAGCATACAAATTCGTGTAGTGATATACTTGCCCCGATCAAAAAAGAATGCAACTAGGATTGTCTGCCGGCAAAAGTAGTTTACCAAATTTTCAGTAAATATTATTTACATAATTTATTATAAAAATATATTTCATAACTAATCTAATAATATTTATTTGATATTATAAATATTCATATATTTTTATCTATAATTGATCAAACTTAATACTTAACCATGACGCTGTGGTAGAATTGCTTTTTTTTCTTAGACGGAGGGTATATTTTTTTAACGGCATGAATTTAAAAGTTAGCGTTAGGCCTTCATTATATCAGAATATATTCGATCTCTCTTTTTTTCCTTGGCTGTGGCGAAAAAGGATACTACGTTAGAAAACGAGGCATTGTTCCTGGAGTTTGCTTGCACGGCTGCCACAATAACAATTCATTCTATACTCTATTCCTTTTATAAAATTTGGGTGTTGATTTAATGAAGCACGTGATATCTCTTCATAATGTGAGCAAGATTTGTTTTGACTTTAGAATCACAAAAACGTTGCTTGCATAACAAACCTTTGGCCTATAGATATGGTTAATACAAACAATAGTTGGATAATAACAAGATAGATCATGTTCACTTTAGTTTTTTGCGTCTGTGGCTGTGGCTATCAGCAGTACTAGCAAAAATGCCACATAGTGTAGCCGCAGCCACATTGGCTGCACGCTTCCACCGAATAGGCCCATGGTCTTTGGTTGCCTGCCGTAGCACGTTTGGATCGGCTTGTCGAGCCGCTTTTAATTAAATCAAGTAACAGGGTATCCAAACTAGAAGCTTATCAAGCACTTACATAAATACAACGCAAAATGTGTTAAAGCCGGAAGCAAAAAGGAAGGAGGTTCCTCTCCACATGTTTGCTCACCCTGAGCCAAGCTCGGAACTCTAGGACTAGGAGTTCCTTTGCACCGACGACGGCTCCAAACACCCCTCCATCGCCCTGAGCTCCCATCCATCACCAAAGATCTCTGCACGAAGTTCCCTCCACCACTTGAGTGCTCCTTTAGCTAGCGACACTTTGTGAGACCATCATCTGTTCCGCAACCAGCACTGTTACGCGGTCGGTGTCAATTTCCTTGGCGAACACCACACCCTCCCTTTGTGGGCGTGGCTACGAGCTACGCCCTCCTCTTGCAGAATCTATCACCGCCTGGAGCTTCCCTCCTCCTGTGGGTCATTAGATTCCAGCAGAGAGATGAGCTTTGACGACAAGCTCCATAATGGTAAGTGATTGCTTTTCCCTTTCTCCTCAAAACAGATCTTGGGTTAACATCTACTCTATCATTTCAAATTATAAATTGTTTTTGACTTTTCCAAATACATATTTTTACTACATCTAGGTATATAACAAAACTATAGAAAACAACAATGACATAGAAAAAACTCTTTTCTTTGGGAAGGACATAGAAAAAACTCAGAAAAGCGAGGAACACCTGTTTTTTTCCAAATCGGAGGACCTCAGGGACCAAAATGCAAGATGTGAGTCCTCGGGAAACATTTTTATCCGTGGGCGTCGTCGCGTCGAACAACAGAATACCAACTAAAAACACAAGCCAAACCAGAAACAGCCTTCCGCCGGATTGAAAATACCAGATGCTACCAGCGCTACTAATCCAGCGTTTCCCACCGTAGGAATCTCTTATTAGCGCCTCAATTAACGACCCGTGTCTTGTTGCACAATTATATAGCCACCATTTGAGAAGATAGGGGAGGTGGAGCAGCCAAGAACGCAAGGAGGGGAGGGGAGGAGAGAGGAAAAGATTAGGAAGGGAGGGGATAAACTGAGGGAAGCCAAGAACCCCAGGAGGAATCAATCGGCCGGATTGCACCCGAGTTCCTGGCCGATTTTTTCTAGCGATCGGATCGAAGCAGTCCCATCGCTGAAGGAGAGACCCGATTCCGTTCGGCGGCCATGCGGTTGATTTCTCTGTTTGGTCTGTCAGGTAGGCTGGCGTGTGGCGTCTTGATTTATATCCAAGTAATTTTGGTTTGGATTTCTGCAATTTCTCTTGTCGTGTTGGGCTCTGTTCAGTTATTTGTGGCTTTGTGGTAACTTGGTTTGATTGCCCCGATCGATAACAAAGCTGTTATTGTGTTCGCCCAAAATCTGTGCTTCCTCCTTTCTTGCGCTTATAGCTGCTGTGAAGTCCCTCCTTTAATCGAACTGGGGTTCACCAGTCCGAATGTGATTTTTGGTTCATCTTCAGTTTTGTTTGTTTCGGGAGTGTTCACATGGTGAACCTCTACTGTCTTGATTTATGTGTAGTAGTGTATTTCATGATCTACTATTGTTTAGTGGATATTGATACAACCGTAGTTGGCTGTTCACTTACTATTTCTGAGCAAGTAGAAGTTCCATAAGCTGACAGTTTCCTTTTATGAACTGAATGAAGTAATACTAGCTCATGTCATTAATGAGCTCAGCTGTATGGTGAAGTATGTAATGCTCTTCAATTTGCTTTCTGCAGGACTGTGATGGGCATGGTTGATCCCAGGTTCCTTGTTGCTTGCTCAGGGTCCAAGTTGTGCTTCATCTCCAGTTGCCGCAGTAGCAGCACAAAAATGATGATATGCTTTCTTCAGAGGCGTCCGGAGTGTAGTTCTACCCTTCCTATATTGATTGAGTTCAGTAGATGATTCTTGGACATCAGTTGGTATTCTGGGGGACTGAAATACGGATTCTGAAGGACACGAAAAGGACTTGAATAACTACATTTTAGGTGCTAATCCAAACTAGGTTGCGATGGGTTTACCCCCAACCTTCGACAGTCAAGGATGATGCGCCAACAGCATTGCGTGCGTCTACTTCTTTGTCCTCCAGATTTTGGAGGAGTTAGTGCCTCGTTATTTGGATGGGCTTCCAGCGGGAAGCTCTAGCAGCAGGGTGCTTTCATACCCATTGATAGGTGATTTTAATAGAAAGACCACATTAGATGGTCCGAATGAATCAAATGGGTATTCTAAAGACAATCATGAATTTGAACATGCAGACCTCCGTGGACTAAATATTGATTCAAGGGATGGAAATTCTAGATCTTTTCCTAAATTGGTGCCTTCTGTCCACATGCCGCAAGAAGGGTTGTGGGCTTTGATTCTGGTTGTGGAGGTTCTGATGGAACAGAAACGAATATGGTCGATTCATCTTTGGTCAACAGTAATTGCAATTCGCCATTTGATCAGCATGAACTCCAGGCAAGGAAAAGACTGCTCTCTCCATTGAAAAATGTGCTCCCTAAACAGTTCAATGGTGATGTGCTCAATCTTTCTTCTGGTGATTCTAGATTTAGGCGTTCTGATTCAGCCGATAAACTATACAGTACTGGCTCCCAAGATAATAAAAAAGCCAACACAGGATGCCTCAATTCTTTTGAAACACGGGATACTCCAACCTCTAGGTGCTCCAGCTGGAGCCCAGAATGGGATGTTACTAGGAGCAATTCTAATTCATTCACTGATGGTCCTTTACTTGGGAGCAAGGATTCTGTATCCTGTTATGATCATCTAGCAGCTAGTGCACACTCTCCGCTTTCTCTGTCTCCTCTCAGCCCTAAATATATGAACAAAATTAAGGTGACAGGATCTCAAAGATCTATAATGAAAGATCTTGAGAATGACTTCCTAGATTTAAAGGAAACTGGAGGTTCTGACAGAGCTAGGATGCAGGAGGTATCAGAAGGAACTAACTTGTTACATGATGAACTTGAAGTCATGACACCTAAATGGAGTTCATTGAGAAGATATAGAAATTGGGGCCCTGAATCTTCCTCTACATCTCCCCCGACCTACATCTCCTCTCGAATTGGTTATGGTGGGGAGTTTGTCTTTGCATGTAAGGAGGTCACTCGCTGGCTCCTTTGAGGAGTCCCTTTTATCTGGTCGATACTCGTATGGAAAAGACAGTCAGGTCTCTAATTTCTTGTCTACTTACTAAATGTACAGGGCCCTTGATTGTTGAGAATTTGATTCCATTTCCCCTCTGAATGCAGACAATTGATGGTTTCTTAGCTGTTCTAAATGTCACTGGTGGTAGTTTCTTCCCCACAACTCAGAGACTTCCATTCTCAGTAACAAGCATCGATGAGGATAGCTCCTTATTGTACTATTCTTCTATTGATCTTGCCGGGAGGTTTCCTTCGAATAACAGCAAAAGCCCGAAGCTCCAAAGAAGCTACAGTAATAATGATTCGCGATCAGCAAAGAGTCGTTCGCGATCCCTGTTAAGGAGTCGCATACAACTGGTACTAAACTGTTTCAGATCCCTAACATTAATATCGTTCTGACCTTTGACCAATTCAATTTTGGTGAAATCATTGTTCTTTATCGTGCACTGGTTTATGCTTTTTTCCTCTATTTGAACTCGTTCATAATCAAATATCTATACAAGCTACCTGGATTGACAAGGCCTGTTGACATCAGAAATTCCTTGATTTATGGAGTTGTCTGCATTTGCATTGATAGAATTGTTAACAGCTGAGATAAAGCACAATTAAAGCCTCCCTTGCTGCATGAAATTTATACAGACAAGAGTGCTGAGTTCTTGCATATTACTGAGCATTTCTTTTCTTTTCTTTTTGAATAAATATCCTCCCCTCAGTGTTATGTCTATAGGCATTAGGCAATTTCTCAAAAGCTTCATTTAGTTTTCTTTGTACCTTACTGCATTACACAAATGACATTTTAATTTCACCCCTTCCATTCTTTGCTACTTTACTTCGAATAATTTGGTTCATGAACATATGATCTGTTACGTAGATCTGCTTACTGCTGGGATCTCTAGGCAACTTGGACAAAAGATTCTTTGTTGTTGTTTGTTGTGGGGGAATTCCTCATAGCACTCAATAAAGGCAAAGATTTACAGGATCTGATTTACACATCTGCATCTGTGCACATTTGGGAGTTGTATTCTGTGTCTCTGTACAATTGAAATAAAAAAAGTATATGACTTTGATAGGTGGTGAGCAACCCAGAGAAGACTCCACTTCATACTTTCTTCTGCAACTATGACTTGAGTGACATGCCTTCTGGAACCAAGGTACAAGAATTACTAATATTTTCCATTATGTTTTATGACCTTGGACTAATATTTTTCATTGCATACTAAAAAGGACTGAATGTTTACCGCATGATCACCTGTTTACCTAATTTCCTGTTGACCCATATATGAAATATGTATGTGCATCCTTTTTTAATGACTGAGCAAATTTCATTTAATGGGTTGTTTGCTAGCCTCAAGCCATTTTGTATGGGCTTTAGTCTGGTGTTTATCATGTGTATAAGAGATCAGTATATGTTGCAAAGTATTACACTATATTAGATCTGCCAAGTGATTTTCCCTCAACTAAGTACTGGAAAAACAAGCCAATTTGGAAATTGGCAGTGCATGTAGTCTATTGTTTAATGTGTACCTGAAAGTATTTGAGAGTTTGAGGCCTGGAATGGACATGCTTTTTTACCTTCTCAGAGGGATCAAATGCTAGATTTTTTTAGTGCTGCTATATAAATCAATGACTAGTTTTTGCTTTTGCTTTCTATCATCCGTTTCTCATCTTGTTTCTCTTATTGTAACGAGACAGACTTTCATGCAAGACAAAAGGTCACACTCTCCCCTCTGTCTTACCCTCTAATCCAGTGGAAGAAGGAAGCAAGACTTACATGTTAATGTTGGCCCCAAATCTTCTCAGTCAGTTTCATGTGGCAAGTGAACCTAGTGAACGCGAACTCTATGTTCTGAATGTAATCAGCTGATGGCCTGATACCAAATAATGGTTGAATCCAAACTGTTGACTTTGGAGTGGTGCTAATTTTTCTGTTTGTCTTTGTAGGCTGCGTGGTGGACAGAACTGCAACTCAAATGACGAATTAGAAAAGGAGATCCAAAAGCAAGATGTCGATCATTGGATAGTGATTCTAATGAATCAAATAAGTCTAGTTCTCCTGGAAATAAGAAAGACCATTCTGATTCTGATGGTTGCTGCTGTCAAATGAATAAGTCTGGCATAGGAGAGAAGAAATCATGCTGCTCACCTTCTAAGATCAATGATAGTTCAGGTGGAGCTGCACTTAACTACGCTTTGCACCTGCGATTTCTGTGCCTCCAAGAAATCCTCGAAATCAATGCTTCGCGTGCAAATCTGATCCATCATCGGCACCATATAGCAACAATACATTACCCGAGGAAGAGCGGAGGTTCTATCTGTACAATGATCTTAGAGTTGTATTTCCTCAAAGGCACTCAGATGCAGATGAAGGCGAGGTACACAAACTTTTCGATGTTGTTGAAGTTTTACCTTTTCATTTGTTCCTTCCATCATCAGTCAGAAATCGGGTCAGTTTACTTTTTCGTTGGATAAAATGCATGTGCTTGATAATTGATATGATGTTCTGTTATTTACTATAGTTGACGTTAGACCATCTTTTTTGAGTCTTCCTTAAAATCATTTCAAACGATTATTCAAGCTTGCTCTAATTGCCTCTCCGTTGGCAATCGACCATATTCGATTGATTGTTTCTGTTCTGTTACGGTAGAATTTAATTTAATGTGACAGGTTTCATCTTTGTTGCAGCTGCGTGTGGAGCATGAGTTGCCCGCTGATCCCAAGTACTTTGACATAAGTAAACTGATGGCTGATGGTTACTATGCTCCATCCCATCTCATGTATAGCTTGCGCTGCTGCTGCGCAAAAAGAATCTGTAAATATTTTACCATGACTAACTTGGTCACCAGTCATTTCCTCTTTCGCCAGCAAAAATATACAGGTTAATGTTCCAATAAAATGCATCATTTAGTTCTCCTTATTGTTCTGCTTATATGTTCTTTCCTCCTGATTTCCGAGACCGTCGAGGGTCAGTTATCATGTTTCTGAACACTAGCTGTCATTGGGCAAAACTGAAATGCTGAACTGATCAGAAGTCATGTCATCCAACTGAGAATTCGGCTTGTGACTACAGAGTTCCATTTGGCAACTCAGAAATGCTTTAGGTGTTCAGAAATTATGTGATCCAATTCTGAATTGGGGCCTGCAATCACATAGTTCCCACTTGGCAACCAAATGCAAGTGTTGAGAAAAGGATTTGGGCCATGTTTTTAACCTCCTGCTCTGGATGAATGCTGGAGTGGTGAAACTAAAAAGGCACGAATGTTATTAGAACATTATTAGATTCGATTCACTAGAAGCTTGAAACATTAGAACATTATTAGATCGGTAATGCTTTATTTAGGGCGTTCGGACGTCCTGTTCCCATCAGACGATCTAACCATCCACAGGC